TCTCCCATGATTGTTCTCTCCAAGGAGTGTATCTACCTCAGGTAAATGTTCAATTCGTATGCCTGTCTTTTGTTTGGCTGGAAGCCACAGGTGTGGCTTCAGTTCCAGAGTTGAAGGGCAGCTAGGGGCCGTAGTCTCAGTGGTTCCACCATCTCCCTATATCTTTAGACTTAATATCCAACTGTCCACTTGAAATCTTGGTCACAATAAAAATTTTGATTTTTTTTTTTCCTTATCAATGTGCTTCTTAACTCATTAATTTCCCCATCTTAGTAAATAGCATGTTATCAGTCCACTTGTATCTTCTCCATTAACACTCTAATTCAGCTCAGTTATAATCTCTCGGACATTTGTAATAGCCTCCTGACTAGTCTTTCAGCTTCAATTCTTGCCTTCTACAATTCATTCTTCACACAGCCTAGGTGATTTATTTATTTATTTTTTTAATTTTATTTTGATTTGGGTGAAGATTTACAGAGCAAATTCACTTTTCATACAGCAGTTCACATATACTTTGTCTCATGTCATTGACCACAGTTTACCACAATGCAACAGCTCCTCTCCTACTTCTTCCCCATAGTTACCTCTTCCCAGTGTCCATCCCTCCTGAGCTGTCTCCTTGTGCATAAGAAGCCCTTACTTCTCCCATGGTTGTTCTCTCCAGGGCATGTATCTACTTGAGGTAAATGTTTAACTCACATGGCCTAGGTGATTTTTTAAAAACAAATCAGGTCACGTTCCTCTTCAAATCATTCTGGTGACTTGCCATTGCATTTATAACAAAAATCAAGGTTCTTATTATGGCTGAAAAAGTCCTACAAGATCTGACCTTTGCCTGCCTCTTCAACCTCATTCTTAACACTTTCTGTTATGATCTGGCCATATTGGCTTTTTCTGTTCTTAGAGTCCTCTAAGCTTGCTTCCACCTTAGGCCCTTTTCATTGGCTGTCCCCTCTGTCTACTACAGTGCTCTTCCCCATAAAGTTTGTGTGGCTGGCTCCAACTATAATTCATATCTCAGTTTAAATTTTACTCTTTCAAAGAGGCCACCCCTAATTATCCAATCTAAAGTATCTACTCAGTCTGATTACTCTGTGTCACGTTATCCTTTTAACACTTAACACGTTATTTTTCTTGTTTGTGTGTTTGCTTCCGGCCCTATTCTTCTATTTGAATATAAATCACATGAGAACAGTGACATTGTCTTGTTCATCATTGTATGCCCAGTGCCTGAGACAGTACCTGACACATAATAAGCTCTCTATAAATATTTCTTCAGTGATTGAATAACTACTTTATATGAATAGTCCATGTAGCACATTACTGTGTTCTAATATTTGAATGATACCTTACTGTGGGTAGATTATCCACAAAAAACAGTGCTGCTTAATCTAGAATTTATTACAAAATGAATTCAATTCACAGAAAATAACAGAGTGAATTATAGCTGAATGATTTTTGATGTCTGATTTATATTTCCATTGTTTGAGCAGGCACAGGATTTGATGGTGATCAGTGCCTTGGAGTTGAACTGCTGGAGCTGGGGAGGAAGAAGAAGCAAGTCCTGCGTGGAGACCCACTTCCTCTTACAAGGAAATCCCACCTTACATGGGTGGGATTTTCAGCTGAAGGCAAGATAAATTTATTTCTTTACACAAAAGACATTTTGTCAAGAAGAAAAATGTTTAAAGATAAATCGTCTACATTTTAGGTTTAAATGTCTTTAATATGTCAGCAAAACTAGAAACTAGTATTGTTAGGCAAGGTAGCCATTGATTTATATATAAGAGTTCTTTATGAGAATTCTAATTAGAAAACTTAAAAAGAGGAATTACACTTTTCTGAAAGTGATAGTGAGGAAGAAGTAGAAATCAGTGGTGAAGTGTGGCTTTTCCAGCAGATTCCACAGAGAAAACAAGAATTTTCTAGAGCTGCAGTGGCCACATGTGGCTTTTGTGTGCTTGAAATCTGGCTAATCTGAATTGTGATGTGCTGGAAGTGTAAAATACACTCAGACTTTTGAAGACTTTGTATTAAAAACGAATGTAAGATATCTCATTAATATTTTTTTTATGTTGGTTTCATGTTAACAAGGTAATAACTTGTATATATTGGGTTAAATATGTTATTAAAATTAGTTTCACATTTGGTTACTTTTAAAATGTGGCTCTTGCTATTTGGTGGTGAGTCAGTTCCAACTCATGGCAACCCCAAACGTGCAGAGTGAAACTACGCTCCATAGGATTTTCAGGGCTGTGACCTTGAAGCAAGTCATCAGACTTTACTTCTGAGGTACCTCTGGGAGGTTCAAACCACCAAACTTTTGGTCAGTAGTAGCCCAGTGTTTAACCGTTTCTGTCACCTAGGGACTCCTATTGTAGCTCTAGAAAATTAAAAACTATAGTTACAACTCACATAATATTTCTATTAAATTGTGCTATTGTAGAATCATTTAATAGTGGCTTATGACAGATGAGAGGAACCCTGGTGGCACAGTGGTTAAAACACTTGGCTGCTGACCTAAAGGTTGGTGGTTCGAACCCACCAGCTCCTCTGTGGGAGAAGGATGTGCAGTCTGCTTCTGTAAAGGTAATAGTCTTGGAAACCCTATGGGGCAGTTCTCTTCTGTCCTTTAGGGTCACTATGAGTCCAAATCAACTGGTCAGCAATGGGTTTAGTTGTTTTTTGTTTTCGTTGATGCTGATGATTTGTAGGACACTGAAGAGTACCTTATCTTAAGGGGCCTGTTGACTCTGTCTCAAGGGCTTAGATATTTCCATTATTGGAGATTTGTGCCTTTTAACTACATTACTAGAAACTCATTTGTCTTAAAAAAAATCAAATATTTCTAGATATGTTTATAATTAGGATATTAATCATCTCTACTCTAGTAATGTGACCATTCTTCTAGCTTTTTCTTGTAGCTTTCCTTTCCCCCAAGCATTTACCAGGTCCAGAATCTGAGGAAACTGTTGTTTGCAGAGTGACAAGTGTGTGCAGCCACAGATAGAGAGAAGGGTAATTAGGTCATTGCTATATTCTTCCTGAGGTGGGGGAAATAGGAAGCTTACCTGTTTTCCTAGGTAAAAATTACAGCAGACAGGACAGTGTCTTGGCCAAGATAGAGAGAGAGGGAAGAAGAAGGGTACCAGAGACAAATTTGTATCAGATTGTGGTCATTTATCTGTCTCTCTCAAGTAGGGAGTCTTCAGATTCCAGCTTTTTTGTATTAAAAAAAAAACCCATAAACTGAAATTGGCTTTAAAAGTATTACTGATGTATTCCACCAGGTGGCATAATTTTCATTGAAACTATCAATTCTTTCTTTTTATTTGGGTAAATTTTAGGTATATTTGTTGTTGTTATGTGCCATCAAGTCGTACCCAACTCATAGCGACCCCTTCTTGGGTTTCCGAGGCAGTATCACTACGGAAGTAGATTGCCCCATCTTCCTTCCGAGGAGTGGCTGGTGGGTTTGAACCGCCAGCCTTCTGGTTAGCAGTCAAGTGCCTTAGGCACTATGCTACCAGGTATATTACATGCGGTTTTATTTTGTCTTCAGATAGATCTTATTCTATGCAGTTAATGAAACTTTTATAGGAAATAATTTTTAATTTTGCTTTTTAAAACAAAAAGTTTGAGTAGTTTATTTAACAAGCGTATAGCTATGTCTCCAAGTAATTTCTTTTTCTCTTGGTGCACAGGTACCCCCTGTTACGTGGATTCAGAGGGCATTGTTCGAATGCTTAACAGGGGACTTGGTAATACCTGGACTCCTGTGTGTAACACAAGAGAACACTGCAAGGGGAAGTCTGATCACTACTGGGTGGTTGGTATCCATGAAAATCCCCAGCAGCTGAGGTGAGCTATTAGAAAAGGTGGCTAAAGTTAACTCTTTTTAAAAAGTACTTTGAAATTCTCTATATTGTGCTTTTTAAATGTATTTGTTTATTTGTCTTTCTTTTTGGTCTGTTTACTTGCTTTCTATATGTATCAAATTAGTAATTTGTTTATATTCGCTTTGAAGTTTTTAGCCAATTGCTTGACTTGAATGAAATTTATTGAACAAAATGGAAGTTAAATTTGTAAGTGTGACATTACCGTCAATTTAGGCAGATTTGGGTGTGGTTGGATGTTTCTGATTATTATGGCATTTCGCCTTTTATTTAAAGTCTTTTATTTTAAACTCTGATTTAGAATTGATTGTATATAACTCAGCTACTTTTGGTAGTTGTTGTTGATTGGCTTTGCTTTTTTTAAAAAAAAAATTTTAATTTTATTTTTGCAGTGTTTCCTCCACTCCACTCCCACCCCTGGTAACCAACAAAGAAAGTTTCCTTCCATATATAAACCTTTCCCTGACTTTTTATGGTAATGAACTAATACAATATTTTTCCTTCTGTGATTAACTTATTTCACTCAGCATTGTGTCCTCCAAGTTCATCCACATTATGTGGTGTTTTGAAGATTCTACAATATTCTTTAGTGTTGCATAGTATTCCATTGTATGTATGTACCATAGTTTGGTCATCCATTCTTCTGTTGTTGGCTACTTAGGTTGTTTCCATCTTTTTGCTATTATAAATAGTGCTGTGATGAACATGGGTGTCCATATATTTGTTCTTGTCCTGGCTCTCACTTCTTTAGGATATATACTTAGTAATGGGATTTCTGGACCAAATGGTATTTCTAATTCCAGCTTTTTAAGGAATTACCATACTGCTTTCCATAGTGGTTGTATCATTTGACAGTCCCACTAGCAGTGTAGGAGAGTCCCAGTCTCTCCACATCTTCTCCAGCATTTGTTATTTTCTGTCTTGTTGAACTTTGCTGTTAGTGAACTCAGCTACTTTTTGAGATTTTTAGCTTGATAATTGCAACAGGGGAGAGGAGTGATAGAAATGCTTGCAATATGTAATTGACTACAAGTGTAGAATTCTCAGTCCATAGAATTTCACCTCAATAGTTTATTAAAATTTTCCTTTTTTTTTTTTTTATGCCAACTATCTTCTCAGTGTACAGACTGTCAACATTATGTAGGTACTTGGTGAACAAAGAGGCCTCTGCTTTCATGGGGCTTATAGTCTTATAAGGTAGGCAGATAATAAACAAGTAAAATACTGATTATAACTTTGGGTAAATACCACTACTTATTCTGACCAGACCCATGATGGAGGACAAGAGGGGATGTTCTAGTTGGGGTGTTTACAGAAGGCTCTTAAAGGAGGTGACATTTAAATGAGACCTGGAAGCAAACGAATGGAGTCTGTTACAGAAGAGTGGATTAAAAAGTAGTGAATGCAGAGAAGACAATATGTACAAAGGCCCTGAGTTAGAAAGAAATTAATGTGTTTGAGGAATTAAAAGAATGCAAACACGAATTAAAAGAATGCTAAAATCCACAATGATCTCATAATGTTAGACACAGGCTATGTTATAGGCCATAGTAGAGAGGTTTTAATTTTATTTGAAGTGTATCAGGGTTTAATCCAAGGAAATAATATAATCTGATTTATCATAAAAAGAAAAATGTGTGCTACATGGATGGAAGCAATAAGTGTAGAAGTGGGCAGACCAGTTTTCAACCAGTGGGCTTACTCCCTTCCACTGGGGATGTTTGGAAATGGGGGTTGTTATTTTTGTTATCACCAGTGAGTAGGGGTCACTTGCATTTAGAGAGCTAGGACCAGGGTTGCTAAACATCCTGTAATGTAGAGGGTGGTCCTGCTCAACTACAAATCATCCTTCCCTAGATGTTATCAGTATCACCATTGAGAGGCACTGAGGAGAGTTTTCCAGTCATTCAGTTGAGATAAGACTAGTTTGCACTAGTGTGAGGGCAGTAGAAATGAAAAATAGTGACGTTCAGCTGCTAACTGAAAGGTCAGCGGTTTGAACCCATCAAATGATGCATAGGAGTAAGATGTGGCAGTCTGCTTTAATAAAGGTTACAGCCTTGGAAACCCTATCGGGCATTTCTACTCTGTCCTTTAGGATCAATTGCTGTGAGTCAGAATTAAGTTGAGAAGTAGATTCAAGATAGAAACAGGACTTGCTGGTAGATTGAAGGTAGAGAGTCAGAGAGAAGAATCAGTAATGACAACCATGTTTCTAATTTAAGGAAGTAGATGGATAGTCATACCATTTATAGAAATAAACAAATAGATAACACATTGAAAGGGCAAAGGAGTAGAATTGAATCAATGGAAGACAGAATTAGTGAGATTGAAGACGAATACCTCAATGCTTCTTTGGACCTTGGTCAATCAGAAAGGAGATCAAAACAAATGAAGAAAGCTTAAGGTACATGTGGGATACCATTAAAAGGAATAACCTACATGTAATTGGAATTCCAAAACAGGAAGAGACAAATAAAACCACAGAAACAATTGTTGAAGATTTGTTGAAAGAGAATTTCCCTTTTTGGGTGTGTTAAGTTTGGAATATCTATGAAACATTGAAATGGAGGTATTAAGAAAATAGTGGAATATAAGATTGACAGTCAAAAGGAAAATTTTGGCTACAGATAAAAATTTGGGATTCACCAGAATATAGAAGGTGCTTAAAGTCACAGTAAGAGAGGACTTTGGGTAAGACAGCGGAATGGGCAGACAAGCTGTACAGACCCTCTCCAAAAAAGAGAAGAGAAACTAATTGACAGAGATCCAGAAGATAATCCTGGAGCCCTGAGCTTTCAAAGGAAGTATACAGAAGTGGATTAGGAACCAACTAGTGGAAGAACCTGAAAGAAAACATTGAGTACAGAGATAGATGGAGTTGCAGACTGTTGCTACTCTGACAGCACCAACAGCCTAAATATTTCCAAGTGGTGTTGGGACCTAATCATTGACCTAAAGATCAGCCCTGGTTGCCAAGGGCTGCAGGTATGACTGCACTGGTGGCGGATGAGTAGGAAGGGAAACAGCAAGGTGGGAGAAAACCTGAGCTGTGGACTACTGGCTGTCCGGAGGGCACAGAGATTCTGAATGTTTACAGGTGGGAGCCATTTTGGATATTTAAAGTGACCGAGGGTGCAGCCATTTACAGTGTTTGCATTTTCAATATTTAAAGTGACAGTATTCTCATCCAGATTCCAGGGACCTAACTGTAAGCTCTGCTTGCCAGGACAACAGGAACATACGGGGAGGCTGACAACAGGAAAAGAGACAGGTAGTGAGTGTATCTGCACTGTCAGCGAGTGAATAGAGGAGCACAGTACCCTGCTTATTTAGATAACATCGAAAGAAAACGAAAATCTTAGGCAAATCACTCCAACATACAATCACCAATTAGATATAAACACAAAACTGTAACAATGTCTCAGACAACAGAGTATCACAGTCCACACAAAGAAATAAGATAAAGCCGTAAAAACAAGGGACCAGGATACAGACCCAGAACACATCCTTGAGGAAGAAGCAGCATTGGAACTCCATGATAAGGAATTTGAAAGAATTATATTTATTTACCATCTACGGATGGAGAGACAGATCAGGGAAAACACTGATAAAATTAGGGAAAACACTGATAAAATTGAGGAAAACACAGACAAAACCCTAGAATAATTTCGAAAGACAATACAAGAACAAAATGACAAAATAAATGAAAAAACAAAATCTACAGTTAGAAATCTTGAAGGTTAATACTAAATTTTCAGAAATAGATAACACATTGAAAGGGCAAAGGAGTAGAATTGAATCAATGGAAGACAGAATTAGTGAGATTGAAGACGAATACCTCAATGCTTCTTTGGAAAGGGGTCAATCAGAAAAGAGATCAAAACAAATGAAGAAAGCTTAAGGTACATGTGGGATACCATTAAAAGGAATAACCTACATGTAATTGGAATTCCAAAACAGGAAGAGACAAATAAAACCACAGAAACAATTGTTGAAGATTTGTTGAAAGAGAGTTTCCCTGGTATGATGAAAGATTAGAATATATCTATCAAGAAATCCAGCGAACCCCAAATGAGATGGACCCAAAAGAAAATCACCAAGACTTATTATCATCAAACTCACCAAAACCAAAGACAAAGAATCCTGAAAGAAACATGGGAAAAACAAAAAATTACCTTCAAGGGGCAACCAGTAAGAATAAGCTCGGATTTCTCAGCAGATACCATGCAGATGAGAAGACAGTAGTATGGTGTGGTGGTTATATTTGTGTGTCAAGTTGGCTGGGCCTGGCTGAGTGGCTGGGCAGCTGGTGGTAGTTATTCCCCACAATGAGACTGGCAAACAACTCCATGGCGGGATCTACCACAAGCAGCTGGGTAGCTGCCTTTGGGATATGGTCTGCTTCCTGTATATAAGGCCTTAGGAGAAGCCTCAGGAGTGGTCTCTAGCCTATGGCACGCTTGGACCCTGCATGTAGCCGTATCTTGCTCACCAGCCTGCTATGCTCTGCTGACCTTGGGACTTAAAATGGACTTAAGTTAATGGCCTGCTGTGTGGTTTGGTAACATCAGGACTGTGCCTTTTTCCTTGTCAACCTTGGGGCTTCTCAGCCTCAGCAGCCAGCAGCTGTCTGAGTGAAGAAAATACCTCTAGCAGTGTGCCAGGAGCAGAAGGCAGAGCTGGACCCCAAGGTTGAGGGGCTTTCACCCCGCCCCTAGAGCCTGGCACTTTGAACTTTGACTTAAAGCCTCCAAATTGTAAGAGACTATACTCCTGTTTGTTATGGCATCCCATTTGTGGTATATTCCTGTCAGAATGGCACTAGGTAACCAGAACAGAATATGGTACCGAGAGAGTGGGGTGCTGCTCTAACAGGTGCCTAAAATGTGGAAACAGGAGTGGAGTGCCTCCTTGAACCAAGACCCTGGCAGAGAGATCCCGGCATACGGCATGACAGACGGC